ACATATGATGTCATCACTCAGTAACTATCTCATTATACAGACATTATGGAACGTTCTGGATTTAATTAATATTAAATAATAATATTGTACAGAGGAAGTTTAATTGTCTCTCTTTCTAGAAAGGTTTTGTAGGCGGATTTCATGCTTCTTAATAAATTATTATAGCGTTAGGGATTTTAATTAAACCCACTCCAGAAGGCAGTTTTATTAATGATCTTAATAGATATTTAAGTTTCTAAAACCATAAACCACCAGATATAACTGAAACTACATTTTCAAATATAATAGATATAAGACGCACGTCCGTGATTAGCTCTTTTTTGTTTCATTGTCCTCAATTTTCTAATTACATACCCAATGTATAATTATATCCAATATATATATATACACAAAATAACCAGCAAACTATTTGGACAATGGAGAATGTATTAGAGAATTGCAGATTTCTGAAAAGGAGCATGAGTGGGAAACAGGGTTATTAATTATTAAAACGGTGGTATTTTGCAACTATTGTTGTAATAGAGATTTGTTTCACTTTTGTATATTTCTAGTTCTACAAGAAGTACGGCAAGTGTAATTGCATGTTACTACCTAGAGTAGTCATGGGTATAGTGAAAACCACAGTATATGTCTATTATGTTTGCACATTAAGAAGAATTTGGGTTCAGCTAGTTTGGTTCAGGGGGAAACTGACATCATGATTCATGTTATGGCGGGGGGCATATGCTGCATTATAGCCAGGCATTCTTGAATAACAAGATTTCTGGTGACTTCAAAGTTACAATGTTTTGCATAATACCATTTATAATAAACTGTGCTCCAGCACTACCAAGAAATTATATTAACTGAGTAAGAGGTACTGCGTAGGCGCATTCTCACACTAGTGCTCTGCACCCAGATGGGGAGAACTCTTGGCTTTAAAATGCAGAGGAAGAAGTGGGATAAATGTATATAATAATGTTAAAGGGGTACTCTGAGATCCATAGCAACTACAGGATGCTGGGTGGTTTATGGTGCAGTGTTTATGGTTTGAAGAGTATTTTTTTTTTTCTTTTGAAACTGACTTGGGTTCCCTGGACACCTGTGGTCTGGCACCTCTTTACAGATATAACTAAAGTGAAAATGCCTAAGATATATAAATGTTGTCCTTGTTAGGACATAGCTGACAACCATGGCCAAATAATTCCATCCAAAGATGGATGTGATTCATATTCTACTGCAGAAGGGGAACTGTTTTTGCAATATCTGTGAAGATCATCTGGACTTAACACTCAAACTAACGTAAGTATCAAACTTTGTGAAAAAGTTTTGACTCTTAGGAGTGGAATGTTGCTAAGGGAGTTCTGGCAGGCACTATAGCTGCTGCAGTAGGTTGCAGTGGTTATGGTGTCTAGAATGCCCCTTTTAAGTGTTTCCCTCTTTCCATACAGTCTATGTAGATGGTTACTAACCTAATCCACAAGACAAATAGTTAAGGATTTGGGAATTGCCCAATTCTGTTTCTATGAGGATAGTTACATAACCAGGAACATTGTTATGTCTTGAGTTCTGGGCTGGGAACCACAGATCTACATAGTGCTTCCCATTTATACACTATGTGAAATTATTTTTCTCATACAAAACCTGCAAATAAAATGTTGTGGTTAAATGTTCCTCTTAAAGCGGTACTGTTACCTCCTGGGATATTTGCATATTTTGGTGACATCACTACTTGAAGTGACAATGACCCAGGGGTGCAATAGTGGTGAATTGTTTCCTGTGGGCACCGCCATCTTTGATTTTCATCCCCTCGCACTTCATCCACCAGGAGCCCACATCAGTGTTATACCCTACTAAAGCTACTACACATCAGGGAAAATTTAGACCGATTCTTTCGGATTGGTTCGTGTACACGTAAGGATCTTCAGTGATTACTGGGATACCCTGATTTGCTATGCGAATCATTCCGCAAGGAAGATTGTTAATCTCTAGGCTACTCTGCCAGGCTTGCCCAAATCATTCAGCAGGGAAAATTGTTAATCTCTATGCTACTCTGCCAGGCTTGCCCGATAATGCTACCGTTATACTCGACCCCCCGGCCAGATCTGAACTCATTATGTGGTACCAATTCCTTCTGAATTGGAATGGTATCTCCATGTTCATCCCCCCATTGTCAGAACAGTAACCATTAATATGGACAGACTCTGCCACCTATACCGGGTTCATTGTTTTTTTTGGTAGGGATCAACCGATTATCGGTTTTACCGATATTATCGTCCGATATTCAGTATTTTCGGAAATATCGGTATCGGCCTATAGAAATACCGATATTGCCGATAATACATACCAGGACCGCCGGGCTCACTACAAGCCTGGCGGTCCTGGAGGGCCGGCAGCAAGCTGTTACTTACCTTCACAGCAGCTCCCTTCAGCTCCCTGTGTAAATCTTGCGAGTCCCGCAGCTGTGAGAGCGTTGCCAAGGGTTACCATGGCAACGCTCCGCACGGTACACAGACCGCGAGATTTACACAGGGAGCTAAAGGGAGCTGCTGGGAAGGTAAGTAACCGCTTGCTGCCGGCCCCCCACTGCTCCGTACACGCCACTGGACCACCAGGGAATGCCATAGCCCCCCTCCCTGGCCAGGCAACAAGCAGGGAGGGGGGGACAAAAAAAATAAAACATATAAATATTAAAAATTCAATAAAAAATGCCCCCCACCCCCCATTTTACACAAATTACATCCCTTCAGAAACACACACACTCTGCATTATACACACACTACACGAACACACACACTACACACACTCTGCATTCATTATATACACACATTACACAAACACACACACTCTGCATTCATTATATACACAACTATACAAACACATACACACTGCATTCATTATATAGACACACTATACAAACACACACACTTCACAAACACACACACACTGCATTCATTATATACACACTATACAAACACACATACACTGCATTCATTATATACACACACTATACAAACACACACACACACTCTGCATTCATTATATACACACACTATACAAACACACACACACACTGCATTCATTAAATACATACACACACTACACAAACACACACACACTGCATTCATTATATACACACTATACAAACACACACACACTGCATTCATTATATACATACACACACTACACAAACACTGCATTCATTATATACACACTATACAAACACACACACACTGCATTCATTATATACATACACACACTACACAAAAACTGCATTCATTATATACACACTATACAAACACACACACACTGCATTCATTATATACACACACTATACAAACACACACACACTGCACTCATTATACACACACACTATACAAACACACACTCTGCATTCATTATATACACACACCACACAAACACACTGCATTCACTTTACGCACACTGCATTCACTATACACACACACTACACACACTGCATTCACTTTATACACACTACATTCACTATACACACACTACACAAACACACACACTCTGCATTCACTATATATACACACTACACAAACACTGCATTCACTATACACACTACACAAACACACACTGCATTCATTATATACACACTACACAAACACACACTGCATCCACTACACACACACACACTTTGCATTATATACACACACACTACACACACTCTGCATTCATTATATACACACACTACACCAACACACACAATCTGCATTCATTATATACTCACACTATACAAACACTCACACACACACTGCATTCATTGTATACACATACTATACAAACACACACACACTACATTCATTATATACATACACACACTACACAAACACACACACACTGCATTCATTATATACACACTATACAAACACACACACACTGCATTCATTATATACACACACTATACAAACACACACTCTGCATTCATTATATACACATACTACACAAACACACTGCATTCACTTTACGCACACTGCATTCACTATACACACACACTACACACACTGCATTCACTTTACTCACACTACACAAACACTGCATTCACTTTACGCACACTACACACTACATTCACTGTACACACACACTCTGCATTCACTATATATACACACTACACAAACACTCACTGCATTCACTATACACACTACACAAACACACACTGCATCCACTACACACACACACACACACACACATCTCCCCTGTCTAAACACATCCACTACATGTGGCATGTATATTTTGTGCATTTACCTTTAGAAATAGTTTATTTTCTCAAAATGGTAAATGTACAGAATATCGGCAAGTTATCGACTATCAGCCTGAAAGTTCACAGATTATCGGTATCGGCTCTAAAAAACCAATATCGGTCGATCCTTAATTTTTGGTGACCATTGATTCAAAGATAATTGGCCTATTGAGACTGTCTCCTTACCTGCCTTCAAAGAAACCTTTGCCCTGTTCGAATTCTATCCCATTGTGGTGGCTGCCCACACCTGAGGTAATCTTTATGCCGGGAAGGCAGTAAAATGCTTTTCTGACAACTTGGCAGCATTTGAGATTGTCAATAAAGGGTGATACTCCTCTTTGACCATCATGATTTTGGTCCAAAAATGTACCTGGCTTACCTCCACATTTCAGTTTTATTTAGTGTGTGTCCTGTTCTCACTTACAGGAATTTTTCAGGCTCCATCCCTCTGCCAACAGGTACCCATCCAGAACAGCAGTATTTATGATTTCTGGAGCTTAAGAGTTCACTCTTGGTCTTTGAACCAAGCTGCTTTATCTTCAAACAGTAAGACGGCTTACGAGAGGGCTTTGGCAGTATAGCTCCATGCAGGGCCGCCATCAGGGCATGACAACCATGACGGTTGTCATGGGCCCAGTGGTCCTGGGGGTCCCAGACTGCTCTGGGAGTTCCGGGCCCCATATTACCTATTTACACATATATATAGCGATAGTCAATATATATATATATATATATGTGTACTTGCGGGCCCCCGGCTACCTGTTTGTTGCAGAGGGGGCCCACAGCACACTCTCACTTCCCTTCCCAGCAGTGCTTTGCCACGGGTTACCATGGCAACACTCCGCGCGGCACACAAGCCATGAAAATTAGAGACAGGAGCTGCTGGGAAGGGAAGTGAGAGTGTGCTGTGGGCCCCCTCTGCAACAAACAGGTAGCCGGGGGCCCGCAGCACACTTACACTTCCCTTCCCAGCATGTCCCCTGTCTAACTTTCGCGAGTCCCGCAGCCATCAAAGAGTTGCCATGGGTTACCATGGCAACGCTCCTTGCAACACGCATAGCACCAATCCACTGGACCACCAGGGAATGCAATCTCCCCTTTCCCTGGCCAGGTAAGAAGCAGGGAGGGGGGAGTAAAATAAAATGTTAAAAAATAAAATTTTACAAAATATTTTTTGAAAATGTAAGTGCCCTCTCCCTCCATTTTACACATATTACATACCTACACAAACACAGACTACATCCACTATACACACACACTACATTATATACACACTACATGCACTACACAAACACACACTCCACATTCACTATACACCCTGCATCTAATACACACAAACAGCCTTCAATATACACACACACTACGTCCACTACAGAAACACACACTTTGCCTTCACTACACAAACACACTCTGCATTCACTACACAAACACACACTACATCCACTATACACCCACCGCATCTAATACACACAAACACTACATCCACTACACAAACACACACTCTGCATTCACTATACACACACACTACATCTACTGCGCAAACACACACCCTGCATGCACTATACACACCGCATCTAATACACACAAAAACTACATCCACTACACAAACACACACACACTCTGCATTCACTACACACACACACTACATCAACACACAGTTCTGCATGCTCTACACACACCACATCTTATACACACAAACACTACATCCACTACACAAACACACACTCTGCATCTAATATACACCTTATAAATTACACAAATGTACAATCTGCATCCACTATACACACTGCATCTATTAAACACACACCGCAACCACTTTACAAATGCACTCTGCATCCACTACACACATTCTACATCCACTATACACACACCACAATCAGTAAGCATCAACAGCCTTCCGTGTTGACAACCCAGTGCATATCATCAAGATACTAGGGAGATGGAAATCCTCAGTCTATAACAAATACATCCCCTAACCCGAGAAAGAACTTATGAAGCTTTTAATAGTTTAGCTTTGTAATTGCTGCAATAAAGTATGCTTTTCCTTTGATACCTTTTTGCCCTCTTTTATTAACAGGCCTACACATACGTTGATTTCAGCACACCACAACCGACTTATAACCATCACCACTAATTTATACATACTACTATCATGGTTCCCACCACAAGTTTTAAGGAAAAAGGACTGTATTTGTAGGAATTGTCTGTCTTATAAAAACCTTATCCCCTCTCTTACTTGGGCCATTCTGTTTCCGGCCACCTCACCGTTTATTTAATTTATTTATTCTACCATTCTCCTTGGTGGCCCCTCTTTCATTTACAGGCCTACCTGTATGATGATTTTGGCACACAACTGACTTATCACCACCACTAATTGATACATACTACTATCATGGGTCCCACCACAAATAATAATAATATACGAATTTAGTGTTTCTCAAAAGAAATGCATCTAGTAAATTAGATAAAACAAAAAATTCTCTAAATTTCTTTCTAAAATAATCTATAAATAGTGAAAGCAGTGTCTCTCACAAAAAAGCTTAACTCACACTCCACAAAACATAAAAATGTCTATTCCAATGTATTTTTTTAAACAAATACATTAAATATCTATAGAAATATCTACCCATAAAAATGTCTATAAAAAAATCAAATAAGATTTAATAATTCCATCTTAGTATCCAAACCATAAGGAGTTGACATTTGTACAGTAAAAATTCAAAACATTTCTCTATAAGTCAGATTTGCCATATAATTTCCACCTCTCTCCGATCTTTTTCCCGTGTACCTTGTGAAACTTCTTCAAAATATATAACTTTAAGATTTCTTTTAGTTTGACCAACATTTACAAGCCACATTTTCAACTCAACAAATACATAACCCCTTTCGAACTACATGTAATGCAATCTTTAATTTCATAATATTTCTTGGAATTAAATGACTGAAAAGAATCAATTATTCATATGGAGGACCTGTTATCTTACAAACATGGTAATTGCCAAATTTATAGAATCTTTTATTAAGATTAAAAAAAGGTTTTCTGTATAGGGGCTTTGAAACTACTAACTAGTTTATTTCCTAAATGAACATTATAGTGGCAGGAATACAAGGTTCGTTTGTACAGGTTGCTATCTTTCCTGGCTGAGAGAGTGTGTACTGGTCCCCATCGATAACTCATGTGGGCATTGCAGAGCTTCATTGCTGTCAATCCAGTCGAGTTGACCTACATAGGTCCTCCAAGAGTTTTGTGTTGCACCAAGTTGAAGGGCTATTTTTAATTTCCATGCCTCCATCACCAGTTTCTTATCGTTAATTTAAGAGAAACAGATCAATACATCCCTGGGGACATCTGCAGCCTCTCTTGCCAATATTGAGAGGTGGTAACAGCCATCAATATTAGTAATTTTAGCTTTCCATTATGGCAGCATGGTTGCCAGCAGATGTTGAATAAAGAGTGGCAATGTATTATAATCTACAGCCTTGGTTATGCCCCTGATCTTAACATTCTTATGCCTCCAGTAATCATCTGATTTATTTAGGTGATATAGAAGCGCCTAATTTGAGACATCTAGTTGGGACACCTGTTCTGCCATTTGTGTTGCCTTTGGGCCATTGCACAATCTTCATGAAATACTCATTTTGAAGGGGGGTGATAGAGCCACTTTACAAGTTGAGCGAGGAAAAGATTGTATTAAATAGTGACAGGGTCAAGGATTTACACAGAACTACTAGAAAGTACTATAACCTTGGTTGAATATCATTTGCAGATACCATAATTATTTTGTGGCTACATACATCCAGAATGGGTGAATGGAAATGTTATAAATGCTAACTCCTTAATCTTGTTAACGTTTTCTGTCTGCCATAAAAACTAATTAACTTTATATGTGCAGAGTAATGTTATTATTTGAGCTAATAGGCAAGTCTAGAACATTTAGTAGGTTGCAAACCCACATAACCAGAGTTATGTCTTATAAAACAGGGTTTGTTTTATTTCACCAAATGTTTCTTTTTGTACGAAAGAATGCAGAATGTTATGGACTATTAATATCTGATAGACCCATACTGTAGGCAAAGTGAGATTACTAAAATCTTGCATTTACATCTAAATCCACTAAAACTAGAACTGACCTCAGAATCATTTTTGTGTGGCATTGAATAAACCTGATGATTGTAATTTGAAAAATGAAAAATCAAATTCAAAACCAGGATTTCAACAACATTTAATATGTTGCAGTTGAGTAGCATCAATTCTGGGAATGTTGTCGAACACTGCAAGGAGCAGGTACCCTAAAAGCATCCCCTGCAGAGGATGACCCCACGAATGTCACCAAAAAAAACAAAAACAAAAAAGAGATTTTGATAGATTATTAGACTGGGCACTCAAATGGCAGATAAAATGTAATGTTGGTAAATGCAAAGTTATGCAGTTCGGGGTAAATAATGCACAAGCATCTTATACCCAAAACAGTAGTGAATTAGGGATAACAACACATGAGAAGGTTTTGGGAATTGTTTGAAACAACAAACTAGGCAACAATAACCAATGTCAATCAGCAGTTGCTAAGGCCACTAAGGTATTGTCATTATATAAAAAGGGGCATCAATTCTCAGAATTAAAATATAATTTTGGCTCTTTGCAAATCCATGGTAAACCACACCTTTAATATGCTGTGTAATTTGTGGCACCTGTTCTAAAGAGGATATTATGGAACTAGAACTGCAGAGGCAGACTACAAAATTAATAAAGGGAATGGAAGATTTTAGTTTATGAAGAAAGGCTAACAAATTTAGATGCGTTCAGTTTAGAAAAACAGTACCAAAGAGCGAATATGATCATTTTTTTAAAAATATAATCTTGGCCAATACAAACCATTGTCTGGGAATCATAAACAGGACTATACATAGGACACAAGGTCAGCCATTTTGACTGGAAGAAAGGAGATTTAGTTTACTGCAAAGGAAAGGGTTATTTATAGTAACAACAATAAAAATGTGCAATTCTCTGCCTGAAGAGGTGGTTTGATCAGAATCTGTACAGATTTTTAAACGACTGGATGAATTCTTGAAAAGCATAATATTCAGAGTATAATCTTTATTATGTGGGCTAATAGCTTTTTAGTCCAAGGAGAGATCTGATTGTCATTCTAGGGTTGAAAAGGAATTTTTACTAGTTTGTTGCAAAATTGGAAAGAGCTTTGTGGCGAAACCAGCCTCGCCACTGTCCACTGGAGGAGCCTGGTTGCTCGCCTGCTCCCTTTAGACTATGGCCCGGCAGTTAAAACCTTTTATTTTCCCTGCAAAGCATATTCATGCCTTTCTGTAGACTGTTAAAGCCATGCTACCCCAGATAGCTATGCCATGGAGCCCAGCCGTATACTGAAAGACTTTGGCTCCATGGCGATTGAACTGTATTTATGTGATCTGAGCGCCATTCGGTAGTAATGTGCACTCAGATCTAAGCTATCTGGGGATATGTAGAATGTCTATGTGTTATGGAATAAATGTAACTGTATGTAATTTTATGTCTTTTATTGTATTGTTACTGCCATGTGGTTAATGGAGTCTTGCCTCTGTCCTGGGAGATAATTGGATTACTTCACAGTTATCTCCTGGACAGAGAGAAGGGATTGTGATGTAAATGTGGGTGTGTTTTATGGTTCCCCTGTAACGATTGGTTGTACTGTGTCCCACCCTGTGGGATGTCCCCTTGCATGGGGACTTGCATAAAAGCCAGTGTGTGGCCATTACAGAGAGTTCCTGCTTAACCCTCAAAGTGAAGTGTCGTCTCATTATTGGGGGAAGGATTTATTGTATGCTGTTCCAGTTTGACTGCTAGGAGAGTAAACCTATTTGTATGGTTCCTATTCAACTGTCTACAGCATTCATATGCTTGAGAGGATTCATATGCTTCTCCGGTTCGGTGGTTGT